ACTACTACTACTACTACTACTACTACTACTACTACTACTACTACTACAAAACCCTCCTTTATTGAAATTCAGTTTTTTTTTTCTCAAAGTGTGATCTGAAGATTCCTGGGGCTCCATCCTCCCAGATCCTTTCAGGCTCCATGAAATCAAAACTTGTTTGCCAGCCTGTGTTGAAAGCATCGTACAAGGTTAAAATCCCATCACAGAATTGTGAGGAGCGGTGGTGGCAATTTTAATTTTTAAATAGGATAAATGTCGATTAATACCACCCATAGAACAGGGCCTTTGGGGTCCGCCGTAATTTTTAAAAGTGGGAAGGCTTCCTGAGGGGAAAATAAAATTAAGAAACGCTGTGCATTTCTTGGACTATAACTCCTATCAACCAGGCTGGTGAAGCTATTGGGAGTTACAGCCCAGCCTGCCTGGAGACCCAAAAATGCAGAGAGGGGTCAGTGGACCAAAAGTTAAGGTGTTTTTTTGGAAATTTCAGGGATGTTCGTTTACTTAATTTCTTTCTTCTCGCCGATTTTCAGCATTCCTGCAGTATAAATCTCATTCTTCTCTTCGCTGGAGGGAAGCAGAAGATGATGATTATATTCACATAATATGAATGTCTCTGGAGATTCTCGGTCATCCAGGTCATGGTTGTCCCAAAGGTGCTTTTTTCAAGAGGCAACTAGACTTCCTTATTTTTTTCTTTGAAGACATTTTGCTTCTCATCCAAAAAGCTTCTCCAGAGCTGAAGAAGCTTCTTGGATGAGAAGCGAAATGTCTTCAAACAAAAAGCAGAAAGTCCAGCTGCTTCTTGAAAAAGCACCTTTGGGTCAGTAGTGGGATTCAAATTTTTTTACTACCAGCTCTGTGGGTGTGGCATGGCTTGGTGGGCATGGAAGGGGAAGGATGCTGCAAAATCTCCATTCCCTCCCCAGCTACTAACCTGCTTTCCAGCTTTCAGCAGGTTCTGACCAGTTCTGGAGAACAGGTAGCGGAAATGTTGAGTAGTTCAGAGAACCGGCAAATACCACCTCTGACTGGCCCCGCCCCCATCTATTCTCTGCCTCCCATGGAGTCCCAGCTGATTGGCTAGGTCTTCTTTGGTTGCCCTGCACAGGAGAACCGAGCTGGAAAGCAGGTTAGTGGGGTGGGGAGAGAATGGGGATTTTGCAGTAACCTTCCCCCAGGAGTAGGGAGGGAATGAGGATTTTACAGTATCCTTCCCCTGCCACACCCACCAAGCCACGCCAACAGAACTGGTAGCAAAAAAATTTTTAATCCCACCACTGCCCCCATGCCATCACTCTGCTAAATACATAATTCCCTGAGCACTGTCATATGCCTAAGGATCTCTAACAATGTAGTTGTTATTATTATCTTTCTGTTCATTCCTATTACCTGCTCATATGATCTTATGATTATCACCTGTCTGTTGGTTGTATCTTATGAGTTATGATTGCATCTGATCTTATAATTTATCATTTTGTTCCTTGTATGTAGACTGAGAGTTGATGCACCAGATACAAATATCTTGTTTGTTCAATCACACCTGGCCAATAAAGAATATTCTATTCTATTGTGTCCTTGAATTACTCTACCTGTGAGACTTTCACTCCAGTATTGGTCAGGAAGAAACCAGGCACTGTGACTGATTCTTTATTTGTATCTTTTGTAATGCTTATGGACTGCTCCAAAGGAGGCAAACTCTGAGCAGCAAAAATTTCCCTGTCTAAAGCATCTGTGATCTTAGTGCTATTCTTGATTTCATGGGCATCCCCCCAAATGAAATTACTAATATTATTGGCCAGATCTTCACAATTTAATAAAAACACGAGAGCCAAACATGTTAGAATTAAGTGCATATGCTTAGGAGAATATTCAGAACTTCTCCTTTGAGCATAAACCAGCTCCCAAACATCTTGATTTGGCAACATGAAATGCCTTACCATTTCTTCTTAAGGTGAATCTCACACATGTTGACTTTTGATCTTTTCCAATCTGCTGTAGCTAGAAAGACCCAGGTGGACCTACCTAGTTCAGTGGTATGGGCAGCTCTCCTGTACTAACAACTGTGCTTGTGTAGACAAGGCCGAAATGTGAGTTGTGATGTGGTCCAGCTCATTGTACAGAAAAGATGCTGAAGCCACCTTCTCTATGGAACAAGCAAAGCATAGAAATGGAGAGGGCATTCATTTGGATAGGTACTAGCATCCCTTCCCAATGGATAGGAAAGTGGAAGATGCCTTCGGACATTTTTGTCCTGGATCACCTGGATTGTCCTGGATCACCTAATTTTTTTTATCATCTAATGGAAAGTCAAACCATGTCTTGAACCTGTAATAGAAGTTTTAACATTTCTTGAAGCGGGTAGTACTTTTGATTGGTTGGAGAAGAAAGCGAGAAATGAGGAAATCAGAATCATATAAGTTTCATAACCTGGATGTTAAAATAGGAGCTAATTGGATATAGAACTCGCCATGCCATTGTGGTCCTAGAAGGTTTCTCTCTGCTTTCACGTGTGATCTTCCCCAGTCCTTCTGTTTTCCCACTTATCTGCTTCCCTTTATGAATGAATTCATTTATTGATTGATCTTCAGTTTTGTGGCCAAGATATAACACAGCATTAAAAATGGAAGGGATTGTTTAATGCAACCACTAGCTCACTTCAGGAATCTACAACATCCCGACAGATTATCTCTTTAGCCTTTGCTTAAATATTGCCACCTCCTACAGCAGTACTGTTACATTTATTTATTTATTTATTTGATTTGATTTATTTGATTTGTCAATCGCTTACAAGATAATAGGTATAAGTATAAACATGAGTAAGAATACAGGAAATAGGTATGAATAAATGGGGACAAAAGGACAGGGACAGTAGGCATGATTGTGCACTTATGCACGCCCCTTACAGATCTCTTAGGAATGGGGTGAGGTCAATAGTGGATAGTTTGAGGTTAAAGGAGTGGGGGTTTGAGCATGTAACAACAGAGTCAGGTAGTGCATTCCAGGCATTGACCACTCTGTAGGTGAAGTTGTATTTTCTGCAATCAAGTTTGGACCAGTTTACATTGAGTTTGTATCTGTTGTGTGCTCTTGTAGTATTGTGGTTGAAGCTGAAGTAGTCATTGACTGGTAGGACATTGTAGCAGATAATTTTGTGTACTACGCTTAAGTCCAACCATAGACAGCATAGTTCTAGGTTGTCCAAGCCCAAAATTTCAAGCCTGGTGATATAGGGTATTCTGTTGCGAGCAGAGGAGTGAAATACTCTTCTCGTGAAACACTTTTGGACTCATTCAATTGTATTTATGTTTATTTTATTTATTTTTATTTATTTTATTTGATTTATTTGATTTGTCAATCGCTTACAAGATAATAGGTATAAGTATAAGCATGAGTAAGAATACAGGAAATAGGTACGAATAAATGGGGACAAAAGGACAGGGGCAGTAGGCATGATTGTGCACTTATGTACGCCCCTTACAGATCTCTTAGGAATGGGGTGAGGTCAATAGTGGATAGTTTGAGGTTAAAGGAGTGGGGGTTAGAGGATATAACAACAGAGTCAGATAGTGCATACCAGGCATTGACCACTCTGTTACTGAAGTCATACTTTCTGCAATCAAGTTTGAAGTGATTTACATTGAGTTTGTATCTGTTGTGTGCTCTTGTAGTGTTGTGGTTGAAGCTGAAGTAGTCATTGACTGGTAGGACATTGTAGCAGATAATTTTGTGTACTACACTTAAGTCCAACCGTAAATGGCATAGTTCAAGGTTGTCCAAGCCCAAAATCTCAAGCCCGGTGATATAGGGTATTCTGTTGTGAGCAGAGGAGTGTAGTACTCTTCTCGTGAAATATATGGCCAATCAGTTCTGAGCATTAGATATTTTCCTGCCCTGGTTTGGTTCACGTCTGCTTTCTGAAATTTCCACCCACTGGTTCCTTCAATCCTGCTCTCTGGAGTCATAAAGGACCGTTTTATATTTGCAATTTGAGGATTCTGACAGGCCAGCAAAGAAGTCTTAGGAGAGGTGTGATAGCATCTTCCAATATTTGAAGATATTTGTCACAGAGGGAGTTAATTTATTCTCCAAAGCACCAGAGGTCGGGACAAGAAATAACAGGTGAAAGATTATTGAAGAGAGATCCAGCCTAGATTTAAGGAAAAATTTCCTTGACAGTGACCATTAACCAATGGAACAGCTGGCCTCTTGCAGGTGCTTCATTGCTAGCAGTTTTCAAGACAAGGTTGAACAGCCATTTGTCATGCAGGGAATTGGACTGTTCTTTGCAGCCCTAGGACTCTATGATTCTACTCTCTACAAGTCTTAAAATGTTTGGAGAACATTATCTTGTCTTCCTTTAATCACCTCTTTATGAGGCTAAACACCCAGTCTGGTGCCCATGGCATGACCTGTCAAAATATATTTTGTGACTACATCTCTTGCATGACAAATTCTCTGTCTCTGTCTGTCTCTGTCTCTCTCTTTCTGTCTCTCAGATAACTCTTCGCCTGCCCAGAGAGAACAACTGAGAGGCAGCAACGAAAA